ATTGCACATGTTTGCTGTAATTCATCATTAGTAAAATATTATACTACATGGGCTGTATGATTACATCTTGTAACGTAAATGTTGTATTAAATAAAGTTAATATTACCGACGTTAGATGAATGTCCCTGTAGCTTCTTATTGGACTAAGAAGCTTATTGCACTGTATATATACTGTATATATTATACAGTGCAATAATTATTTCATGCTAAATGAAGCTCTGTTGCTTGGATATCACTAGATCCTGTTACAGCGTAATATAAGTACATAACGATTGATGTGTACATTAGCATAATTACTAGCTAGCCGCTAGCTGCCAACTGCCGCCTCGTTAAATGATCCAAGCTGCTTTCCTGGGTTCTAAAGTGCTGTAAAGCAGCCTGTTCTCTGGCTTCAGTCTGGGTGGAAGAGCCATCTGCAGCGCAGAACTCTCTGGGTAAACTCTCCTCCTATTTACAACACTTTTGTTTCAAGCACTTTTCAAACACTATTCCTGGCTTAAAAAGCGATGTGCATCACCCTGGATCTCCAAATCCATCATATTAACAATCCACTGCCATGCTGTCATGAACGCGCTGTGCTGTTACGTGTACGCAAATTGACGTGCTTGATGTGAACGAGCATTTTGGTTAAAGTTGCGCATGCGCTATGAGCGCACATACGGGTACTTCTCAGGCATGCCGGGTAAACTGTGACGTTTCGCTCTCTCAAAAGTTGGGCCATTTTATCATCATGCGCTAATGAGCAACTCTCATAGGAATTAATGAGGCCCCGCTTCCCACGCTGTATCCAGTTCTTATTATACATCCATGGAGCGGACAGTGTGAGCTCTATTACTGGTTGCTGCGTGGGGGTCTGCGAGACATCGCGAAACTCAGCCTGAGCACCATGGACGCAGGAAGGGGGGGTGCTGAGGGGGCTGCAGCACCCCCATCCGTGAGGCTCCACTAGCACCCGCACCCCCAAACGCGGCGCACCTACAGTGTAAGCACGCCACAGTTTCGCCGCTGCGAGTGTGTGTGTGTGAGGAGCTCCACGGATTGGTCCATTTGGGTATGGTCACGTCACTGTACCCAGGAAGAAAATGAAAAATCTCCAACGAGGCTGTGTTACGAGTTTTACTCGCTACAGGGTGTACTTTGAGGGTTTGTGACTCTGCAGACCGTTTACATGCAGAAAAAACCTTCATAACACACAAGGGGACGGGTAATAACCAGAAAAGCATGACATGGGACCTTTAATAAAAAAATCCTTGTTTGGAGGCCCTATTTTGTCTTTTAGTTTTCTCTTTACTGTCGTGTTTAATATAGGTTTCAGTGCATCTAAATGGTCTGCAAAGGCTGAAATCCCAAATTTCCCTCCAGAGGGAGTTTCTCTCCCACACACTCCCCCCCGGCCTGAAATGCTTCAATTGTACTCTTTATCTTTTTCATAACATAGTGACAACATCACTATATAACACTCGCACTTCTATTGGATAGCGCTCCAACACATTGGGCGTGAGGGGCAGGACATCTCTAAGCGGTTGACCAATCACAACAGAGCCGGCCAGCTAACCAATCAGAGCAGACTGGGCTCTGGTTTCAGACACAGGGTGAAAAGAGGTGCTGCAGCACAGGCAGTATGAGAAAAATGAAGAGCTTTTTGAACATTAAAGCATGAAGACATGTAGCAGAAGAGAAACTAAATACAATACGAAATTGAAAGGTAGCAAAATAAGGCCTCTTTAAAAATGTAAATATATTTTAAATATATTTTTCAATGATAATGTGACTAATGATACAAAAATACTCATTCCCTCTACTGTCGTGTATCATATAGCAATTGCAGTCAAAGTAATGATAATTAGTATTTTTGTCCAGTTCATGCAGCCCTAGACAAATGCCATCTGGTGTTTGTACCAACAATTAAAACGTACCTCTGATCGTCTGTTTCGGGCTCGACCAAGATGTTTTCCTGTCTCTCCTTGACTCGTAGAAACACAAAGGAGTCCAGGCAGGGCTCAGGCACTGGAACAACACACAGGGTTTATTGTGAGGGGCAGTGAAAATGTCAAGAGCAAATGCCACCAACTGCCACTGAATGCTAATGGCAGTATTTCAGGCATGAGACATCCTAGAGTGAACAAATATAAATAGAGCGTGTCAGGTGAAAAGATAGAGAATACAAAAGAGGTTTTACCTGCTTTGAGCATGTCCACGGTCTGCAGGTTGGGGGGCATGCGCTTCAAAGCTACAGCCTTCAGGTAGGTTTCTGTGTTGGCATAGTACCTGCAAGCCAGATGAATGTGTGTTATTACACCTCAATGTCACAGAAACAGCTGTATGCACATTATAACTCTATTATACTCACTCTTTGGCAAAAGCAAACTCCTCAGGTGAAAGTAGAGATGGATCCCCCTCCCCTCGTGACTTTTCTTTCTCCAGGACATGAGGGAAGAACTTTTCAATCTAGACATAAGTTGTACAATTAAGCTATTGCTTTTATAAAACGGTTACCAAGTGTGGCAATATGAAAGAAAAATACACACTCTAATTTAAATAGTTTGTATTAGTAAATAATGAAGTTCAAAATAAAATAGTCCCTCCATTGCCTTCTGCACAAAACATAGTGCAAGGTGGTTGCTATGCAACAACATTAACAGCTAGCGAACATATTAGACAGAGAGCATTGATCTATTATTTGGCTATTTATTTACATTAATTTGTATGTTGCCGTTTATTGTGCAGCCACTGAAAAGCTGTCCTGCATCAGTAGCATGGCTTACGTGGTTACTTGTATAGGTTGAGGTTGTTCTAGGCTGTTGCTTGGCGTGGCGAGAATATTGCTCCACTTTCTCCGGTCCCCGAGATTGGGCTTCCAGTAGCTCTGGAGAGAGCTTTCGCACCTGTGGCCACTAACGGTCATAATTTCTCTGCTTTGTTTCAAGACCCGCATCAGAAAGCTTTTGAATGGTGCTACTTTTCCAGTTGGTCTACCTGCTCTTCACATAGCTCTGCATGTCGTCGTTTAGGTGCTTTTTTTTCTGGAGATAGGCACTGCTAAATCCACTCCTCGAGGTCGAAGTTAACCTTAAATGTTTCCATCTTGAGCTTTGTTAGTTAGTTAGTTTCGTAACGGACGTAATGTAACAGCTGTAACGGTTTCTCAGACGCGGAGGGATACTGACTTGTGAAAAGTAACTAGAATTCTACCCGTGATATACGCATTATATGATGGCTAAGAACCAATCAGATTGCTTGATTTGACTTGTCCGTTTTATAAAGATCAGATAATTTAGTCAAAAGGCAGTAGGTGGAAAGAGAGCTTTATTTTTAACGCCGTAGTGTTGAACTTACTGACCTTCTGCAGACGGGAGCGCAGGTAGCTGCTGAGCACAAAGCGAATCCGGTCTATTTCCATGCGATGGATGCTGGCCTTTGCATCTCCCTTCTTCACCCGCTGCAAGTTTTCTTCCTGTTGGAAAGGTCAGACATTTTTTTATTACGTCACTGAACAAGTTCAGACATTATTGACAAATCTCAATTTCTATGTGTCTTATTTTTCCAATGTAGTATTACAATGCTCTATTGATTTGGAGTCACTGGTTCACATAACATGGAAGCTATTGAAAATAAATGAGACCTAACTATAACCCTAACATAAAAAGCCCCCCCCACCCCAAAAGAGGTGAGTCCTTCTCGTCAGGCAATGTGCTATCTTGGAAGCTATTGAAAAAGTCATAGAAATATAAGAGTTTTAATCAGGATTTTCATATGAAATAGATGTAGTTCTAAAACCCAATAAAAAGAGCTTATTTGTCTAGTCCACCTATAATATGTGGTATGGATTAGGAGTCACTGGGTCAAATGTAACAGAAGCTATACAAAATAACAAAAATGGTCTTCTTTTAAAATATTTATCTAAAATCAGATAACCACACATCAGTAATACATTTTTTTGTACTAGTTTGAGCAAGCTTGCGAAGAGATATTTTAAAAAAAAAGCATTGGGGTGTGTCTGTGAAAACTGACTATCAAATACTCATCCTAAAACTAACTCCATCGCCGTACTGTATGAGCTGTTTTGTGACATTTCGAAAATGTATGTAGACTCATGAGTCTTTCTGTAATTGAGAAATGACACATGGATGTGTGGAGGTATTCCCTGTGTAGTTTACCATGTGAGTGAGCTGCTCCATCACACACTCCACCACCTCAGATTTGTTCTCCTGCAGCTCCGGGGAAAACTTCTCATTCAGCCAAGCCTGAGAGAGAGAGAGAGAGAGAGAGAGAGAGAGAGAGAGAGAGAGAGAGAGAGAGAGAGAGAGAGAGAGGCACAACTGTGAGCAGAGGTGTAAAGTAACTAAGTTCATTTCAAGGATTCAAGACTTTTATTGTCATGCGTACATAGCTACAGTGTGGTTATGACAATGAAATGATTAGGTCACAGGCTCCTCCAACAGTGCAACACAGTAAAATTGAATATAATAGACATTTTGCAGAATAGTCTATAAGTAACTGGAATATTGATATATATATATATATAAGTTACAAAAATATGAATGTTATGGATTCTGAGGTACTAGCACTTTATTTGAGTGTTTTAATTGTTGGATACGTTGTACTGTTACTCCACTACATGTATTTAATACCTTTAGTTACTTTGCAGATTTGGATTAATGATGTGAAATATAATCAACACTTAAATACGACTTTAGTTTCACCTGGTTCAACATTCAAAAGCTACCCTGCAGTATACAAAGTCATTAAATTAGCTGCACCTTTACCAGCTTCAATAAACACATTAATACATCAGAATGACAACATATAATACATTATTCTGAAATGGGCCAATCTGCATAATGAGTACTTTTACTAATTATTTTCTATGTTTACTTGAGTAACATTTGATTGCAGGACTTTTACTTGTAACTGAGTATTTCTACTCTACACTCTGGTACTTGAGGATACTGTCTAAACAGGAGGAGTATATTTTGTTAAACACATTATAGGAAGTATATGGCAATTCCTGTGACAGTAAATGTTAAGTGCGTTAAATCATCTCACTTCTTCCAGTTTGGCTATGAGCTCCGCCGGGGTCATAACATCCTCCTGACTGTCATCCTGGTTCACGCTCCCGTCATCGGACAAAGCGTCCGACATAGTTTTCCTTTACGAAGCAAACAGACAAAGTACTAAGCTTAACCGAAAAGCTAACAGTATGTGAAGCTCTTACACTAAATTGTACAAAAAATCAAAAAGAACAGCTTAGAAAAAAAGTTACTAAAAGGCTAACACAGGCTACACAGCAGCGTGTATTTACTGGAGAAGCTCTTGTTTATTCGCGCCACTACGCATGTTCTCGCGAGATTATGGTGTTGTTATTTCCCCTACGGTAGGGCTGTAAGGCAATGTGTGACACAGGCTGTATGTAGTTTGAACACAAATAAACAGGTTACACAATAAAATACTTTCGTTTATAGACATTAAGTATAGATGTCCTATCTTTGTTCGTGTGAACTTCTACTTTGCGAACCCTAATATAGGGAATTATAACACTGTCGCGGAGCAATGCTTCCTGACAGTTTGAACTCAGGGAGCTGAACACCAGCGTTATCAACACAAGAAGCACCAATATTCCTAAAATAAATAATAATAAAAAGGACTATAGTCCTACTGTTTTGTGAAATGATGGTAACATGTACAGCAAATTATATTTCTACTGATATTTATTTATTTTAAATAATACAAAATGAATGCATTTCATAAAAAATAGTCATTAAAATGTGATTATAAATGTGAAAGGATTGACAAGACAGAACTATAGCTGCAGGCAATGACAGCATGGGATATAAACAAAGCACAAAATGAGTTTATTCACACCCACAAATAAAAACCTAAATATTTCTGCAGTCAATCCTGTAACTTCCCATTTTCCACAGAGATCCCAAAAGTCACAACATGCCATGTCTCATCTTGACAATTGTGTCTCTCTTCCACCCATGTCCATCACTATCAGCTATAGTGTCGATTTAAAAGGGATGCATTATCTGCTTGGTTTGTTCCAGCTGCCTTGTTTCAGACCACATTGTGGCCTGCAGCATAATCTAATGTGTCTGATTTCCTCTTTCTCTTTCCTCCTCATTGCTCTTGCCTCAGAATTCCTCGCTTTTCTTCACCACTAATGATCTTCCATCCGCTGTACAAGCAATGTAACGTTTAGTACTGCAAATTATTTCTCTTTGTAGCCTCTGGGTTTATCTGTGCTGCTGTACATCCTGCAGGGTTTAATCCAGGTCACACCAAATTCTGTAGAGACGCAGTCATTTTATAAAGCAGATAAACAGACACAATAATCACTTAATTCAGAAAAAGGTTGTTTTATTTTTGTTTGAATAGCTGTGGATAGGGAGAAACATGAAAAATACTAGCCAGTATTATCTATTTTTTTCATTATATTATGACTCATTAAAGGTAGGGTAGGTAAGAAGAGAAACCAGCTCGAGTGCTTTAGAATTTGAAAGTACGCAGCCGAAAAAAATCTGCCCCTTGCTTCAAACTTCCCTAGAGCCCCTCCTCCAACACACACGAACGCGCATATGACCAATGAGGGCACGAGATAAGTTTGTGCACAGATGGAAGGCTGACAGGCAGGTAGGCCATCCAGTTATTTTAGCCGGGCCGGCTCAGATGATTGGTCGTGCTTTTTACAGCGCCACGGCTTCCACAGATGACATTTTGTATGTATTTATTGTCAAAGCATTTAATATATTAATTTCTATCGGGATGTTAAGAGCATTCCATGGAATATAACAAAAAGGGTTTCTGAAGTGAATTACCTACCCCACCTTTAACTCAGAATACAGTTATTGACTGTACTTTACCCACATCCTCTTAAACCCACCTTTGACATATTATGCTACTAGAAGGCGGCCCTAGAAAAGAGACAGCTTCATTGGCTGATACTACTCCTGCTTCCCTAGACAGTATTATCCTGATCCTTCGCCACAGAACATTGTGTAAAATCTACGGCTGTGTCGCACTGATTCAGTTGCAATATACTGTGTGTGTATACAGTATATCTATATAATAAGGCATTTCTGGCAACTGGCAGACCATCTAAACTGACATGGACAGAAAAGATTGGTTTGAGTTGAAACCAGCTCATCTGCAGATCAATTCCATACACGATGATCCATTTAAATTAGCCCTGGTGGAGATGAATTCTTCTCCTATTTTGTCACCATCTTGACTCTAAGGGAGGAGCCATTAAGGAACACTCAGCTGGTCTTTGTGGGAAGGGGAGAGGGAGACAGGCCTGGTGGAGATCCTACTGCACTGAGCGACCTTTCCTCTTTTTTTATTTTGGATGGTAGAGTTCTTGGCTACAAATGGGTATTTTCCTATCTCAGGTGCTGGATTGTCATGTTCCCCCTTCATGTTGATTAAAATGTTTCGGATGCAAACACAGTGCACTATTTACCCTTGTTTTGTAACTGGATTACATAACAGTTGGCATTTTCCTGCAATCATTTATTTTACCTCTGAACATGTGTTTGTTTGTTTTCCTGCCAGAAATCCGGCTCTCTTGCAGGGGTTCCAATCTCTGGGGTAAGAACGTACATGTCATGTTACTTGCTTACTTAATTACTACTTAATAAAGTTACATTCACCATATTTTTAGACATGTGATTCTTATTTTTCCATTAATGTATCTATTAAACAGCCTTTTTTGCTTTCAGTTGTAACATCTCCTACCCAGTTCACATCTTTATAATGTCACAACTCTTTAATAACCTTGTTTAAGGCCTCCTTTTCTAATTATTTTTGTTAAAGAAAAAAGGGCAGCATCCACCCAGCTCCATTTTTCGAGGGAAATCTTGACTTAGTCTGTTTTTGAAGTGTAAGACACTGTTTGTTTTGGGGGGTTGTACACCCTTGTATCTGTGTATGCATATTTGTGTAATCAGTAGAGGATTATAATTTCTTTGTTACTGTGACTGTGTCCCTCAGTGTCTTGGCGACCAGTCGGCTGCCCTGGTTGGTCAGATGTGCTTCAGGGAAGGCCAGTCCAAAAACACGTAAGCCCTCCACTGTTTTATTTATTACACCTCGTTGCTAAAGATAGTATACTACTATTGTGTTTGACAACATTTCATAACAATAACGATGCCTGATGATTTTAAAACGTTATCTGTGTTGACCCCTGTATTCGAATGGAAAGCAGATAAAGCTTGATTTAAGATTAACTAGATTACATCACATACTATTTTGCATGCATATCTAAGCATGCTGATTGGTTGACTGAAGGTGTTGCAGCCCTCTACTGAAGGATGTTCAGACAGTCCCAATAAGAGCGCATTCATTGGGAACTATTGGCAACTCTTGTGTTGCTCGGTCATGTTTGTGGGGAAAGAAAGTCACCAAAGAGCTCATAATGTTTCCAAATCTATCAAGAAACATAATGAAATATACATATGGGAAGATGGTCAGAATAGCTAAAGCATTTCAAATGTTAAAAAATGGGAAAATAGGGAGCTATTATCCCAAACGTATTTATTTCAGGTGCAGCTGCACAATGACATTAATAAGTTAATAAATTGTGTAGTTATAAAAACATTACACAAATATGAATAGGAGGTTTATAAAGATCAGAGTAGAAAAAACAATGACCAGGTAACGTGATGATGGTGTGTTTAATCCAGCGAGTTTAGTATGTATGAAAACATGGACATCAGAATAATATACATTCTAGTTCTGATAATTACACAGTGTTGTCTTTGTTAATAAAGCAACAAAATATAAATGTCATATAGTAAAACATCATCTTTTAATCACGTTCTTCAAACCTTGAGAACTATTATTCTCCAACATTCAGTACCTTATAAGTGAGGGATGTTATTTTCTCTTTGAGTTACCGATGACATGCATCAGGACTCTCATCTATCTGTTTCTCCGTCATGGTTCTGTGAAGGTATGGGACCGGCTGCTTCATGCTCAGAAATACAGGGACCAAGGTAAGATACTGTGTCCAAGAATACATGACCTTACCTTCTTGCCTACTGTGCCCTATGTTCCTTTGCTTTACACTTTTTCATAATGTGTTTCCATGTCATTCTGTTAGCCTCTGATGTCGGACCACGGCCTGCTGACCACAGTTGCCTACAAACTGGGAAAAGACGAGCCTGCCTGCTATGCCCTCGAGGTGTGTGAAGCTTTTATGTCTTATTTTCAACTACGTTTTATTTCTAAATCCGCCTCCAGATCGAAAATGAAGTCCTCAATGGTGCACCCTGCTGTGATATGTTCCACCTGCCTCTTGTGTGATTTGGGCCTGATGTTTTTCTTTGTTCCTCCCAGGGTTCTGTAGCCATCGCCGGGGCAGTGGTGTGCTGGCTGAAGGACAACCTGGGCATCTTGCAGTCTTCCTCAGAGATCGGTACTAACACGCTACAGCTTACCTGTGACATTTGACCCATTCATGAACAAATCTGTCTGTATTCACACATGGGCTCTATCAAGAGTTTCATACATGTAAATGCTTACATATAGAACCTTTAATTATATAATGGGATTGACTAACAACTCTTTCTCTTTCTGTTCTCTCTCAGAGAAGCTAGCAGCTGCAGCCGGGACGTCTCACGGCTGTTACTTTGTGCCCGCCTTCTCCGGACTCTACGCCCCCTACTGGGAGCCCAGTGCACGAGGGTGAGGCAGGCGCATGTTTAACTGTTGAGCTATCAAATGTAATTTCACACTGAACTGAGACAAGTTATAATGTGATACTTTGATTTCTTAGTTTCTTCTCAAGGGACTCGTAAGCAACGTAAAAGCATAACATTACCTATTAGTTGACCCTAACCCTAATTTAGCCCCTTGACCATCAACATTAAAGTTTGCCTATTAACATATTCCCTTTGTTTGTTTTCCAGGATCATCTGTGGGCTCACTCAGTTCACCAACAGGAACCACTTGGCTTTTGCTGCCCTCGAGGCCGTCTGCTTTCAGACCAGAGAGGTGAGCAGCGTCTCCTCATGCTCCCTCCTGTACCCAAACACACACCTATTCCCAACATCAGGGAAGATTAAGAAACGTATTTAAACATATTATATTGTAATGTATTCCCATCCATCCATACATACATACAGAACAACAAAGGGTAAGAAAGCACAACATTTATTTCAGCTACAGTGACCATCCTTCAGGTTTTAAAGGTGTGTGAATGGTATTGGCTGCGGTTGGGTTAACGTGACAGCCCTATGTGTCTCAGATCCTGGATGCGATGAACCAGGACAGCGGCGTCCCTCTGAACGAGCTGCAGGTGGACGGAGGCATGACCTCCAACAGACTCCTGATGCAGCTGCAGGCAGACATCCTCTGCATCCCCGTAGGTGAGAGGACTCACAACTCACACATGCACTACAAACAATAAACACGTGTTTCTGAATCTCTGAACAAAGGGTCAACAGTAATAATAATACATTACATTTAGCTGACGCTTTTATCCAAAACTCAGTGGTTGAATGCAGTGTTGAACAGGTGGGTCTTTAGTGATGTTTTGAATACGGTGAGGGAGGAAGAGTCTCTGATGGATTGGGGTAGTGAGTTCCAGAGGGTGGGTGCAGCAACGGAGAAGGCTCTGCAGCCCCAGGACTTGAGGTTGGTCCGGGTGGGGGGGGACAGGAGGTTGGCAGTAGCAGAGCGGAGGTCAGTCAGGTAGGATGGGGCCAGGTTATGGAGGGCTTTGTAAGTCATCAGGAGGATTTTGTACTGAATTCTCTGGGGGATGGGGAGCCGGTGGAGCTTGATGAGGACGGGTGTGACGTGTTCACAGATTGTGGGTGAGTAGACGGGCGGCGGAGTTCTGGATATATTGAAGTTTGTTGAGGATTTTTGCAGGTGAACCATAGAGGAGGCTGTTGCAATAGTCCAGACGGGAGGTGATGAAAGCGTGGATGAGGGTTTCGGCAGCAGTGGGAGAGAGGGATGGACGTAGACGGGCGATGTTTTTGAGGTGGAAGAAGGCTGTCTTGGTGATCTGTTTGATGTATGTGTTGTAGGAGAGGGTTTGGTCAAATATGATGCCTAGGTTCCGGATGTGAGGGGATGTTTGAACTGGAAAGACGTCTATGTTAAGGGTGAAGTTATGGATAGATGTAGTGAGATTTTTTGGTCCAATGATTATTATTGGAGATTTTTCGCAGTTGAGTTTGAGGTAGTTGAGTTGGAGCCAGGATTTGATTTCAGTGATGCAGTTTGTCAGGATGGAGTGGGTAGCAGTGGAGATGGACTTGGTGGAGATGAAAAGCTGAATGTCGTCGACAAAGCAGTGGAATTGAAGTCCATGACGGCGGATTAATGTCTTAATTGATGTAGATTAACTGGTATCTGTCAGAGAGGTATGATGTGAACCAAGAGAGGGCAGTGATGTTGAAGGTGGTTTCAAGACGGGTGAGGAGGATGGAGTGATTGATGGTGTCGAAGGCAGCGCTGAGGTCAAGGAGGATGAGGATGTTGAGGTTACCGGCGTCGGAGGAGGAGGAGGAGGAGAGGAGAAGGTCATTTGTGATTTCGAGGAGTGGTTTGAGCGGAATCCGGATTGAAAGGTTTCATAGAGGTTATTGGTGGAGAGGTGATGCTTGAGTTGTAACGCAACAGCGCGTTCCAGAACTTTTGACAGAAAGGGTAGGTTTGAGATTGGTCTAAAGTTATTAGGGTTGTCAGGGTTGAGTCCGGGTTTTTTCAGAATAGCAGCTATTTTGAGGGATGGTGGGAAGATGCCAGAAGACAGGGAGGAGTTGATTGTTGCAGTGATGAGAGAAGAGAGAGTAGGAAGGCAGGCCTTAACAAAGCTGGAGGGGATGGGGTCCAGGGTGCAGGTGGCAGTTTTCATTCCTGTGAGGAGATCAGAGAGGTCAGTAGGGGAGACAGGGGAGAACTGGGACAGGGGTTGGCAGGATAAGGGGGGGCAGGTGGCTTGAGGGAGAGCTGGTGTGGTAGTGGTTAAGCTGCTGTAAATGTTGTCTATTTTGCTTTGAAAAAATGTTGAGAAAAGAGCTGCATTTGTCTACTGTGAATGACTGAGTGGTGGTGTCCAGGGGGCTGAGGAGTTTGTTTATTGTGGAGAAGAGTGTTTTGGGGTTTCCGGAGCCAGAGTGGATTAACTGAGAGTAGTAGGTGGTGCGGGCATGGGAGAGGGCATCTTTGTATTGCTGTAGGTGGTCCTTGTAGGTTTGAGAATGAATCGTGAGACCTGTTTTATTGCGGAGTCTTTCAAGTTGCCAGGCACGGGTTTTCATCAGACGGAGTTCAGGGGTGAACCAGGGAGCAGAGTGGGTGAAGGAAACTGTTTTGGTTTTTATGGGTGCAAGTTGGTCAAGGCAGGAGGACAGAATGTTGTTGTAGTAGTCAGTGAGATCAGAGGGGCTATGGAGGTCCACAAAGGGAGTGGTGGATATTTTTTCAGAGAGGGATGATGAGAGCGAGGTAGGCGAAACACAGCTTAGCTACAGAAATTGATTTTGCGTTTTTGCTTTGGTGGTGGGGTGGGAATGTTGATGGTCATGGTGATGGCTAAGTGGTCGGAGAGGAGGAGGTCTGAGCCAGAGAGATGGTGAAGGTTTAGTCCAGTCGAGCAAACAAGGTCCAGAATGTGGCCACGGTTATGGGTCGGAAAGTTGACATGTTGAATTAGGTTGAAGCAGTCAAGCATGTCCGTGAAGTCTGTAGTTATTGTAGAGTCAGTGGAGTCCATGTGGATGTTGAAATCACCAAGTAGGAGGACTGAGGTGGAGAGAGAGCAGAGCTGGGTCAGAAATTCAGAGAAATCAGAGAGGAATGATGGGTTTGGTTTGGGAGGGCGGTAGACAACTGCCAGGACTGACTGTGTGTGACCAGAGAGTTTAAAAGCCAGGTGTTCAAATGAAGGAGCAGATGAGATGGGGATGAGGCTGGTTTTAATGTCCTGTCGGTGTATTACGGCAATTCCACCACCTCGGCCCTCCGAGCGTGGCTTATTTATGTATGAGTATCCATTGGGTGTAGTGAGGTTGAGTGAGAGATAATCCAGAGGTTGTTGCCAGGTTTCTGTAAGACAGAGAAAGTCCAGTTTATTGTCCAGAATGAATTCGTTGAGAATGTGACTTTTATTGTTGAGGGACCGGGTATTAAACAGAGTGAGCTTCATATTGCTTTGTGTGGTGAGGATTGACTCAGCTGTCATTGCCAGGGCTTGCAGACAGGGGGCGCGCTCGTCTGTATTGTTGTGATGACGTAGTCGAAAGGTGGGTGTGCGCTCAGCTGACCAGAGTACGGGGATGGAGTGACCTGTGTGAAAGTAAACAAACTTGCGACCGGAGCCTCTATGGATGTATCTGGTTCGTTTTAGAAGTTTGTGGTTTTTGATGACAGAGATGCATAACGGGTCCAGTACAACGATTAGTGAGTTTTTTACGACCCAGTTGTCTTGGATTGCGACGAGTATCCTGTGTGGGAGAAAATAACGTAAAAATCGTAGATTTATGAAAAATATAATTAGTAAACTACCTCTTTTTATCGAATAAAGAAGTTATGGAAGGTCCACGGTATCACTCATTAGTGAGCTTTTTATTTACGACCCAGTTTCTTGATTTGACCGACCGTATCCTGTGTGGATAAACATAACGTAAAATTATGAGATTTATATAATTTATAAATTATTACAACTACCATGTTAACGAATAAAGAAGTTATGGAATGGTCCAGTACACTTGATTAGTAGTTTTAATTACAACCTAGTTTCTGATGGACGCGACTTGTATCCTGTGTGGAGAAAAAAATAACGTAAAATCTGTGAGATTTAGTAAAGATCATGTAACAACTACCTGTTAAGTCGAAATAAACGAAGTTATGGAAGGTCCAGTACACTGATTAGTGAGTTTTTAGTTACGACCTCAGTTTCTGATGTGACCGACGTTATCCCTTGTTGTGGAAGAAAAATAACGTAAAATCGTGAGATTTATAAAAAATATAAGTAAAAAACTACCTTCTTAATCGAATAACGAAGGTTATGGAAAGGTCCAGGTACACTGGCTATATAGTTTAGTTTTATTTATAACCCAGTTTCTTGATGTGACCGAACGGTATCCTGTGTTGGAAGAAAAATAACGTAAAAATTATGAACCTATAAAAATATAATTATACAACTACCTTGTTAATCGAATAAGAAGTTATGGAAGGTCCAGTACACTGGATTAGTGAGTTTTAATTTACGACCCAAGTTTCTTGATGTTAACCGACGTATCCTGTGTGGAGAAAAATAACGTAAAATTGTGAGATTTATAAAAATATAATTATACAACTACCTTGTTAATCGAATAAAGAAGTTATGGAAGGTCCAGTACACTGGATTAGTGAGTTTTAATTTAACGACCCAGTTTCTTGATGTGACCGACGTATCACTGGTGGTGGAGAAAAATAACGTAAAATTGTGAGATTTATAAAAATATAATTATAAAACTACCTTTTTAATCGAATAAAGAAGTTATGGAAAGGTCCAGTACACTGGATTAGTGAGTTTTTATTACGACCCAGTTTCGTGATGTGACCGACGTATCCTGTGTGGAGAAAAATAACGTAAAATCGTGAGATTTATAAAATATAATAATTACAACTACCTTGTTATCGAATAAAGAAGTCATGGAAGGTCCAAGTACACTGGATTAGTGAGTTTTTAGTTACGAACCCAGTTTCTTGATGTGACCGACGTATCCTGTGTGGAGAAAAATAACGTAAAATTGTGAGATTTATATAATTATAATTATACAACTACCTTGTTAATCAATAAAGAAGTTATGGAAGGTCCAGTACACCTGGATTAGTGAGTTTTTATATAACCCAGTTTCTTGATGTGACCGACGTATCCTTGTGTGGAGAAAAATAACGTAAAATTGTGAGATTTATAAAAATATAATTATAAAACTACCCTTGTTAATCGAAATAAAGAAAGTTATGGAAGGTCCAGTACACCTGGATTAGTGAGTTTTATTTACGACCCAGTTTCTTTGATGTGACCGACGTATCCTGTGTGGAGAAAAATAACGTAAAATTGTGAGATTTATAAAAAATATAATTATACAACTACCTTTGTTAATCGAATAACGAAGTATGGAAGGTCCAGTACACTGGAATTAGTGAGTTTTAGTTTACGACCCAGTTTCTTGATGTGACGACGTATCCTTGTGTGGAGAAAAATAACGGTAAAATTGTGAGATTTATAAAAATATATATAAAACTACCCTTTTTAATCGAATAACGAAGTTAATGAAGGTCCCAGTACACTGATTAGTGAGTTTTTAGTTATACAACCCAGTTTCCTTGATGTGACCGAACGTATCCTGGTGTGGAGAAAATAACGTAAAATTGTGAGATTTATAAAAATTAATTAATTAACAACTACCTTTTTAATCAAATAAAGAAGTTATGGAAGGTCCAGTACACTGGATTAGTGAGTTTTAGTTACAACCCAGTTTTCTTGATGTGACCGACGTATCCTGTGTGGAGAAAAATAACGTAAATTGTGAGATTTATAAAATATAATTATACAACTACCTTGTTAATCGAAATAAAGAAGTTATGGAAAGGTCCAGTACACTGGATTAGTGAGATTTTTATTTACGACCAGTTTCTTGATGTGGACCGATGTAACCTGTGTGGAGAAAAATAACGTAAAATTGTGAGATTTATAAAAATCTATTTAAAAAACTTACCTTTTTAGTCGAATAACGAGTTATGGAAGGTCAGTACACTGGATTAGTGAGTTTTTATTTACGACCCAGTTTCTTGATGTGACCGACGTAATCCTGTGTGGAGAAAAATAACGTAAAATCGCGTAGAGATTTATAAAAATATAATTATACAACTACCTTGTTAATCGAATAAAGAAGTTATGGAAGGGTCTCCAGTACACTGGATTAGTGAGTTTTTATTTACGGCCCAGTTTCTTGATGTGACCGACGTATCCTGTGTGGATAAACATAACGTAAAATTATGAGATTTATATAATTATAATTAATAAAACTACCTTTGCTAATCGAATAACGAAGTTATGGAAGGTCCAGTACACCTGGAATTAGTGAGTTTTAGTTACAACCTAGTTTCTTGATGGTGACCGATGTAAACCTGTGTGGAGAAATAACGTAAAATTGGTGAGATTTATAAAAATCTAATGTAAAAAACCTACCTTTTTTTACTTCAGGACCTTGGTTCAGATGGCTACCAATATCCTGTGTATCTAAGCTGGGCCTACACTCTCCTGCGACCGCAGCAAAACGAGCGGCGAAGAGATAGACCTAAAAAATGTAAAAAAGATGAGAAAGGAGTTGTAAAGAATCGTCGAAAAACCGGGCTGGTCAAGGCCAATTCTAGATACAGTTAGAATGGTGACGGACCTAGTGACTCTACACCCTTTCACAGCACAAAAGGATGGACTTTTGTGCCGAGGCAAAGCGGCGAGGTGGACGGAGGGAAGACTAGGAGGGCCGAAGTGGAGGGATCGAGGAGGTTGCGACGGAGGTGGGTAAGGGCTGAAGAGTTTTGCACAGGACGGAAACCGACGGACCTGGGAGAAGGCACCTGATGAACCTCGATCGACGGACGTGGAGACGTCAGTAGTTCGACGTCCCTATGGGCGATCGACGATTACGATCGCCGACGGCCGAGTGGACAGGTGAGTTGCGAGGCAGAGAGGACGGACCGTACCGTAACTCCATGAGGCGACGCTCTGAAGATGTTGAGTTGTTGGG